GGAAATATTGATAGGAAAACCTCAACAAAGCAGAAGCCTAAGATGAAATTTTCAACAGCAAAACCAGATATGGTAGATGTTTTTGATGAGTTGTACAGCAACTATGAGGTCACTTGAAATGCAAAGCACAGGCCAATGGTGGTGTTTTACTGGATCTTAAGCATGTGTGGTGTAGGTAGCTTGATAGTTTACAAAAAAAGTGGTAACAAGTGCAAAATATCACAGAGAAATTTTCTTAGATGATTGCAACTGGAGCTCACAAGAGATCATTTCCAGTAGAGGGAAAATGAAATGTTTCTGCACAGGGAACTACACAAAAAATTGTGGTGCACACTGTGAGCCGAGGGGTGAACAGGCAGGCACTGGATCACGAAGACCTACTATGAGAACCAGAAAACAAAAACAGTGTAAACGATGCCCAGCAAGAAGGTACAGGGAAACCACATACGTGTTTCCGGTGTAAGTCGTACTTGTGGATGGAGCTGGTAGTTGTCATGTGTGAAGACTGCCAGGTGTGAGTTGAAGCCAAGTTTCTTTCTGTGGTAGATTTTTGTAGGTGTTTATGCTGTAGCTCTCATAAGTTTTTATTTTTAATATTTATTTTATGTTTTGTAAGCAAGTAAACAGCTGATGTGAAAGTATTGATGCTTACCTTAAGCAGTCATTACACATGTGATATTTTATTTTATCTTATAGACATGTTATTTCCTCACTAAATGCATGTTGCACAGTGTAGCAGGAAGCTCCTGACAAAACAGGAAGCAAAGGGAGGTTAGAAGAATGGCCTGCCACATAGGAATGCAAATGTGCTGCAATGTGCTGTCGGTGTAAGGGAGACACGAGCCCTGTGCATGGAACGTGCTGCCGTCATGTGAAGAGTGCCTTGGGTGTGGCAGCAGAGTTCAATTGGTGCTGTCATTGCAGTTCATATAGGGATTTCTTTCTGATATCTTTTGGGTTTTGTAAGCAAGTACCCAGCTGATGTGAAAATGTTGATGTCTATTCTGAATGCACAATTACATATTAAGAATTTAAAGATTTATTTTATAGACTTTTTATGTTCCTGCTAACTATAAACTGTATAACATAATAAGAACCTCCTGACAAAACAGCCAGACCTCTGAGAATCAGGTATGTCCTACAAAAGGCCAGGAAAGTGGGGGGTGTTGGGGATGTAGCCCCGTGGCACAGCTCCTGCCTGGCAAGCGCAAGGTCTTGAGTTTGATTCCCAGTGTCACCTCCCAATTTTTTTTTTTTTTTTTGAGAGTGCTATTGGTATTTTCACTGTAGTTCATATGGCAGTTTATTTCTGATGTTTTTTGTAGACTTAGTACACCAAAAACCAGTCAGTGCTGAAAATTTTGATGCGTTTTTTTATAAACACTCAGTAAACACTAAAAACTCAAGTCATTTTTTTGGTGATATTTGTCCTATTTAAGCACACATTGTTTAATATAATAAAATGCATACAATTAAAATGAATAATGCATCAATAGAAATATTCTAAAGAATAAATGTGGGCCTAACACACCCACGTTTCTGTGCGTTTATGCCAAAATTAGGCTTATTCCCTAAAGGCTGTGTACTCTCCAAGGGCTGAGTATTCTCCCAGCTTGGAGTATTTTAAACTTCTGATCAACAAAAGGAACCGCTTTTATGATTCTGAGATGGAGAAATTTATAGCCTGAGACTAATGGGCTTTGGTTTATTTCCAAAATATTGTGGTATTAGATGGTCTTCATATTTAATTGATAACAGCACAGACTTTAATACATCACCTACAGAACAGGTGCACGTGCCGCACGACGTCAGAGCCTTTACAATATGAGTGGACCCGAAGTGCTGTACAACCGATGAAGCAAGATGCTGGCACGGGAAGCGGCAGCCGGGGTCCAGTTCCTTCGTGAATTCTATCAGACAGGCTAACCACACACGCGTGGACACCCCCAAGCTACACAACATCCCGATCCTCCTGGCCTACACGTCGGGCTTCGTGCGTCCGCTTCCTGCTTAGGGCTCCTGCTCACCCGACCTCCTCCTCAGCTCTCCCTCTCCAGCTCGCCCCATTAGACAAGTCTTTCCAATCCTGAAGCCTC